AGGACGATAGAGAGGAAGAAGGATGCTGGAAGGCGAGCGCTGCAGGATCCAGGCCGTGCCCAGGCACGGCGAGCGTGTGCAAGCGGGGGCGCCCAGCGGCGGGTGAGGGGTGCCTGGCGGGGAGCCGCAAGAGATGCCGGAGGGGGTGGAGTCGTGGAAAGGAGCATTTCCCCCTGCCTTGGGAATTTGGTTGCTCTACTGCCTCTGCTGGGACCAAAACCAAACGTTGTACCCAATTGCTGCAGAACATGGGTGTAAGGATACTGTTGTTCTTATATGTTTGTAGGTTTCTCATAGGCAGCAGTCTGAACACTGTATAAACAGAATGTTCAACTAGATGGACACTTGGACTGATTCAGCATGACTTTTCTATTGTTCTCATGTACTTACCCTGTCTTTAACTAAGAAAAATAGCATTCAGAGCAGCTTGCAATCACAAATAACTGATAATTCTCCTCTTCCACTCATCTAGCATTATCTAAATCAATGAGAGGAACAGGTAGTTCTACTGGTTAGCTTCAGCCAAATTGCCCGCAAACAGAAATAAGGGGAGGCTACTTTGGAAGATTACCCATCTTGCCTGCAGAACCACACACCACTTCTCACATTGTTCAGAAGCAGATTTTTGGAAGACACCAGTGGACAGAGTGAATCAACAAAAATCGCCTCCCTGTTTTGCATTCAGGGGAGCCCCTTCTGGATCAAGAGACTTCTGCAAACAAAGAGTCACCAAAGCATTCCTATATAGTGTTCCAAATATTGCTTACAAAGCTTAATTGTAAAAGAGTTTTTATTCATTTTAAAATTTCACTCTTTTTAAGTAAATACTCTTTATAATTATATTTAAATTATATTGTTATTAATTAAATTTAAATTATATTAATTTAAATATTGGTTTTTAATACAATATAACTTAAATTACTTGTTTTTTTTAAACTGCATACATTTAGACTAATACAAGGTATAGAATATAAAAGTCACTTTCCCATACACAGAGAATAATATTGCCCCTTTATTTAAAAATGTTGCATTTACAGAACACTGAACACATCACAAACACAGGCATTTCCATGGCTCCAAAATAGTATAACTTGTGCCCCAAATCAGTTTGAATGACATTCCATTTTATATTTACATTGAGTACATATAAAACAGGAAAGAGCAAAGTAATATTCCTATCTACAAAATGGTAGGAGGGGACTGGAATGAACTTTGCTTTGTCCTACATAATAGCCATATTAAGCTACATATCACCGATCTCTTAATTTTCATCCATCCCATTCATATCATGTAATAAGGAAGAAATGACTTTCTATAATCTTATTATTCACTGAAGCCAAAGGAAGGCAGCTCTGATAACCACCTATTATTCATATTCTTACCTTTAACTAAACACTATCACACAACCAGTATCCAATATTTACAGCATCATTCTAATTTCAGTGGCAGTTTTAAATCTAAAAAGTTTACATGCAAGAGTTGCACAGAGCTTCCTTATCTGATTTTGTAAACAAAATGGCTTGTTCTCTAGCTCTTTTGAATGGGGATGGAGAAGAGGAAAATCACATTCTTCGGAAGGCTTCTAAGTCTTCAAGTGGCTTAGAAGGCTTCTAAGCCTTCAAAGTGAACTTAGTATCATGCTACTTTATTCACAGAAATAATTGAAGAAACCTAAAACATGTCACTACTTAAAGCAAATTACTTCACAAGTTTAAATGTCTTTCTAAATTACAGCAAACTAATGTTTAATTTGAAGGAAAGCTTATAAAGCAGTCCTACTTGAAAAGAAAATTGTCACGAGGAATTCTGAATATACATGTATTTATTAATTAAGTATCAAAATGTAAGGCACCAGGCAGAGCACCAATTTCATTGTAGACTGTTTCATCTTTGGGATGTTTTCTGGAATTCTGGTGGCTAAATTCTGTATGTCTTGCTCCTCTGAAACTGATGGGAGAACACCATGCAGAAGAAATAGCAGACCGGCAAGACAGAAGACCTTATCAGATCATCAAAGGCAGGGGTCTCAAACTCGCGGCCCGCAGGCCAATTGCCGGGATGGGTGGGGCATGGGGGAGGGGCCCTGTGGCCTTCAAAGCGCTGGCGGCACCCAGGCCGGCCGCGGGTTGAGCGGCCCACCACCACCACGGTGGTGGAATACTTGATGCAGCCCACCCTCCCCCAGACTCTACTTCCAGCGGCCCCCAGGTAAGTTGAGTTTGAGACCCCTGATCAAAGGGGATAGAGATGTATGCATTAAGGGAATGAAATCAGGATTGTACCTCTTGATCTTCACATACTAATCAAAGCCCTATACTGTCCAAAAACAGAAGGAAGCCCTACTCAGGCATTCAAAATCTGACTCTGTTAAACACATGAAGAAGAAGAGTACGCTACCCCACAGATCTCCATCACATAGTGGCCATTTTCAGCTGGAAAACTTCCTTACCTGTGAATGCTTTCCCCCAGTTTAAAATCCTCAAAAATTAGAGTTCAAAATCATGAGAAGAACCTCCATGAATAAAGGAAGCAAGGAAACAGCAATTGAGAACCATGGAGGACATATTCATGCCAGTTCCCTCTCTTCACACATTTATTTTTACTACATTTAAAGACCTCAACAGGGACAGAAGATTGTCCATTCTGAGTTTACATTCATTGGAAGTAAGTGGACAGACTCCTGCATGCTGACTGGGATCAAACCATTAATTAGCATCACAGTCTTCCTTTTCTTGAACCAACAGATGTCTGCAGTTCCATCTCCTACACAGAGCTACAAAATTTTCAAGAATGTGTGCAGCTCTGCCCATCCAGTGAACTATGGATCTTTAAAAGGGGTTATGCTATGGTATGGCCTTCTAAATTATCTTGAAGACTTGCCGCAAGCAAGGAAGAATGGATAAAGGGCACTGGTGCTCTTCAACTTCTTGACTAATGATTTAGATGAAGTACAAGGGTCAGTCATTAAACTTGCAGATGATACAAAAATGAGTAGAATAGCAAGCACCCTAGAAGACAGAATGAAGATCCAAGGTGATCTTGATAAACTTGAACACTGGGCTGAAAGCAACAAAATGAGATACAAGAGGGACAAATATTAAGTCCTCCATCTAGGAAAAAGAAACTAAATGCATCAATACAAGATGGGGAATATGTGGCTCAATAGAACTGAAAAGGAAAAAGAATTTGGAGTTATTGTGGACAACAGGCTAAATATGAGCCAACAATGCAATGCAGCTGCAAAAAGGGCAAGTGCTATTTCAGGATGAATTAATAGAAGTATTATTTCCAAATCACAAGAAATAATAGTTCCCCTCTACTCTTCACCAGTCAGACCTCATCTAGAAGTTCTGGGCACCAAGGGTTAAGAAAGATGCAGAAAAATTAGAAAGGGTCCAGAGGAGGGCAACAAAAATAATCCAGGGTTTGGAAACACTGCCCTATAAGGACAAACTGAAAGAACTGAGTATGTTCAGCTTTGAGAAGAGAAGGCTCAGTGGGGAATTGATATCACTAATAAGTACCTCAAAGGCTGTCAACAAAAAGGAAGGTCAAGACCTTCTCTCACTCATACCAGAATGTAGGATATGGAATAATCAACTCAAGTAGCAACAAACCAGATTTAGGCTAGATATCAGGCTTTGCACAGGTTGCAATAGCCTTTGACACAGCAAAGGCTTCAAGCAAATGTACCTAACTTTCAAGTGCATTTCAGAGTGTACAGAAACATTGTACATGCCCTACCTGAATGAAGTCAGGACCAATGGTGCCTCTCTCTAGTCCCCTGAAAGAGCAATCTATTCATTCCTTTCCCTTCAGTGGGGCTGCCCCAGAGCAGGGAGGAGGAGGCAGTCATATAATTCTGTTCCTCCGACTACTCCACTATGGCTTCAGATTGTTTGGACTACAAAATTATATGTTGGTGGAGAAACCACCTGACTGATGACTGTACTGCAGGCTTCAAACACAGAGATCCTTAAAATGAATTAATGTGTTGTAGAACATAATCCTATTCATGTTTAAATAGGCAAAACTCTTCTAATTCCTAGACTGCTGGAAGCTGTGGAGTTTTTCTTTTCTTTTTTCCTTTTTGTCTAAATTTGCTTAGAATTATGCCCTTAGAAACTATCTCAAGCAGATAACACCAATCCAAGGTTTTTACCCTGAGGTGAAAACACAGGTTGCCAACATCTCATGCAATTTCATCCCATCACCATTGCCTCACCCCTGCTTCTGGCTGCATGCCTTATGAGGGCATGCTCAAGCCTTGCAAGATTTCAGGCACTGGGTATAGCAAGAACTTGGCCAATTGGAGCCCACAGCTGCTTACTCTGGCCTCACGGAAACAAAAGTAAGAGGAAATAGAGGATGGGGAGCAGTTCTAGGAGATCCAGCAGCTGCTCTCACTGTGGCAAATGCCATGGCAAGAAAGTAGCTCATGAAGATCCCCAGAGCCCCTGCTGGAGGAGGAGGTTGGCTCACCCAATGCAGACAGGTGATGGAGAGCAGCACAATTTGCCACTCACTCCACCTGCTCTGCCACAATGCAGGCTCCTCAGTCTGCCTCATGACAGGGCCAACCCTGAATCCTGAGGTTCCCCCCACCCCAGTTCCATCAATATGCCTACCACATTTGGGGAACTTAGCTTTCATGGCTGTGCCAGACCAAAAAACAGATGTCTTCCATTCTTCTTATGAAGAAGACCCCGAGGGTATGGAATGGGCTTTCACGAGAGGTCACTGAGGCCCCATCGGTGAGGGTGTTCAAAGATAGGCTGGACATGCACATGGTGGGCATATTGTGAGTGGAGCCGGCTGGAGCCGGGGGTCAGACTAGATGGCCCAGGAAACCCCTTCTGAATCGCGCTGTTTCTATGTTTCTTATAAATTATTGTGGCAAAAATCACTTCAAGAGAGAATTCATCTTCTTTCAAGTACTAATTCTTGCAGTACTTTCATAGAAAAGTATGCAACAAAAACAGAATTTAGAAGAAACTTACCTTCACTGATTTCTCCTTTGCACTGTGATAATATAATTGCTTCAGTCCATGCTAGTGGAAGATCCACATACTTCCCACAACCCAGTGTGCTAAGACCCGCTCGTCTCTGTTTGGAAGGTAAAGGGTAAAGTGACAAACTGTGTGTTGTTGGGGAGAGAACTTAGCATTTTAAAAACCATTTGAAAAGTCCATTTCCTTACACTGCAGTTTGTGCATATTTAAAAACAGCATTATTAAGGGATTGCTTGTACAAGACACAATAGCTGGAGCTAACAAGGAAGGAATGCTTAATCCCTCAGGTTAACACTTAAATAAAAAGATAAATGCGTAGCTATAATTATAATGTTATTACCACGTGAAGTAGTTTGCAACAAAAGCAATTAATTACTAGCTCTGTATCATAGTAACGACTTGCACTGAGTCGTTGTGAAGAGGCTCTTGTGCTACCATCAAATTAGGACTGAACCAAAGAAGCCAATTCTGTCAAGATGCATTCCATGTTCTACAGCCATCCTGGGTTTGTTCTTCAAAAATTAATTTGGTTGAAATCTTAAATGCTATTCTTCTATGACATGGATTAGTCCTGATGTGAGCACAGGTTTGTCAGTGCCACTTGACCAGCATTTAAACAACCTGAGAAGAGGAGGAAATGTCTTTTTCATTTTCTGTACCATTCATTTGTATCTGCGTATAGTTAAATGAATTATTGTATTAGCTATAATGTTCCAATCAATGGTTGAGCACATACTCAGCATGTGAACAGTCCCAAATCTGATCCCAAGCATTTCCAGTTAGGACTGGGAAAATCTCCTGCCCGAAACACTGGAAATCCTGAACCAGTGTAGTCTGGGGACACATGTGGTGATTCACAAAACTGTTTTGGGCATCGCAACAAAATGTCCACACTGTAAAGGAAAGCATCAACAAACACCTGCCATCTTCATTTCTTAGAATGTCTCTGAGGCCCATATGTGGCTCAAAGACATTCATGGGAAAAGAAATGGGAGTTAGGAACTTCATTATTAAAAAAATGAATGTGTGAAGGGGAGGGAACCCTGACAGGCACCATGAATGATGTTTGAGGGTAGCCCAGAGGTGCTGCATTGCCAAACCCTGATTTGGGCAACACTGGCCTAGATGGCCAATGGTCTGACCAAATAAAGGCATCTTCCTGTGTTCTTCTTGAAACATTATTGCAAAACCTAAGAACTACATAAAAACACCTTTCTTGCCTTTTCCCAGTTATTTTTAGGAAACATCAACCTGAAAACAAAAATGGAGGAAAAAACCAACAAATACTTTACTTATTTTTAGTTATGAAATTTCTTATTCATTTCAGATGTCTAGTACAAACCATTTTATGGATGTTCTCTCTGTGGAGATTTTGTTAAGGTAATTTTGTTTTAAAGTTGTTTCTTTCCATTGCTTAAACAAAAGCTATATTCAGCACAAGTGCTCTGGCTTTTATTATGTGTTACAGGTCCTTAGCTATCAGTACAAGCAATGGGACATTTATTGAAGCAATCTTTTCTGTTTTATTGTTTTTGTTTTGCTTTTTTGTGCTCCGATATAGAAATTCACCCAGCAGTGAATTCTGTTGGATACCTGCATCAGTGAGTCTCTCATTTCAAATGATCAGTACAATTCAGTAAAGAATATTAAGGTAAGGACTGCCAAATTTCAGAAATGACAGAATCTACAGATCTCTGGCACACCGAGGGAATTTCCCGCTTCTGTCTTCTTTTCTTCCCTCAGTGCTTTTACCAGAGTTATGTCTTGATTTAGTACATTTCAATTAGTTCAGTTCCATTTATTTCTCAATAGCAAATCAGCCTTCTACATATACATTTAAATCAATTGCATGAATTTTTATTAAACTGGTTAATTTGCACATGAATAAAACAGTAGTTCTGACAAAATCATACTGTTTTTAGAACAGCAACAAGCCATTATTACTTAAAACAACAACAGCCAGGAATATGGGATTATTCTAATTCAGTGTTTTTCTGCAAACTGGTCTTCTGCTGCTGTTCTTTCCTGCTAATTTTTAACTTTCAATCCCTGTTGCTCTTTTGAATGTCAAGTGGTGGAAGGAACAGCTCATAGTTTGTGAACAGGAAAAGTACTAATTTACGTTCTGCTGCTGCAGTTAATCAGACATACTTTTAATTGAGAAAAAAAGTTTTGATGACTGAAAATTGATTAAATGGTATATTTACATGTTCACTTGGAAGTAAGTCCCACTATGTTCATTAAGGCTTATTCCTAAGCAAACATATTTAGGACTTGCAATTTAAGGATTTCTCTACACAAGGCATTTCTTCATTCACAGAAATCTGTAGAATCTTTTCATGTTACAGTGGTACCTCGGCCCACGAATGCCTCAGTCCATGACCAAATCGAATCACAAACAGAAATTTTGCCTCAGGTCACAAACTCCACATCAGGTGACGATCACGAGCGCGCTGGGGGGGAGATGGAAGACCCCCCCCCCGAGCGCGTCCGTGATCGCCCCCATTTCCCACCCCAGCATGCCCACTTCGAATTTGGTATTAAAAAAAAAATTAGTTACAGAACAGATTAACCTTATTTACATTGACCCTTATGGAGAAATTTGACTTGGCTCACAACCAATTTGGGTCACGACCAGAGTCCTGGAACAGATTAAGTTCCTGAGCCAAGGTACCACTGTATTTTCCTCCTGCAGGGCCTTTCCTGTGTTTTGTAGCCATTTTTGTAGGGTTGGGTTTTGTTTGTTTTGTATTTTTTTTAAGAATGAGGATAATGAGCTATTGAACTTCAAATTGGAACAAGCACTTTGTGTATTGTCACAAATACACTATACTGTAACTCTTCCACAGTGCCATCTTGTGCTTAGTTAACAAAATATAAAGACAGAGAAATGAAAACCCAATAGATGGGAGAGGGGAACATACAAAGGATGCACTTTTCTTTCTTCAGTGACAAGGAAAGTCAAAGCCTCAATAAAGTGGTAGGTTAACCCTCTCATGTATAGAAGCCCTAAATGACCTTCCTTTTCAATGCCACAGTTCCCACAAACACTGCTGAGTCAAACATCCTATGTGAGAGTTCAATGCACTTCATATCCTTTAAGAACAACCAAGCTCATAGATGCAATCATTTAGTATTCCCATGCATTTCCCAAATACATAAATGCATGTATTTGAGAAGAGTAATTTACATAAGTATATGTTGTAAAATATGAAAAGAGGAACAGCCCACAGGACAGCCATCTGGGGAGATTGCACATCCGTTTGAGCTGGATTTACATACATAGCAGTTAAGCTAGAAAACCTAAGTCAGGGGTAAGGAATGTGGGATCACCAGATGTTATTGGACTCCGACTTCCCTTAGCCCTGCCAGGAAAAAAAATCAATAATGAGGAATGACGGGTTGCAATACAGCATTCCCCATGCCTGACCAAAGTTTTGGCACATACATTAGACACCTAGCTATACCCATCTTTCTCCTGAAGTCAGGGGAGAGTATTTTCATTATTTAAATGGTGTCAAGTAGTAGTGGCCAAACAAATGAAGTGAAACAAACTGAAACAAAATCCAAACAAGAAGTGCTGGTGGTATAGAGGCAATCCACTTAGCCCATTAGCACAGGTATGTTCCTAGAACTTGCACTCCTCTTATATATCCAAGGGATGGTGGGTGTGAAGACTGGTTTGTATCAACTACATTGCTTTGTATCAATCCACCCAAGGAGGTCCTCCTTTAAGCATGAGATGACAATAATTTCCTAAGGTTGTGAAAAGCACTGAGAACTGGCAAGCACCCATGCATCTGTAAACTCAATGACTATAATGCATTTTACACAGAGCATTTCAGTTGATGCAAAATGCAGCCTTCTGTTTATCGACAAATAGGGTGGCAAGAATACATCCGATTCTGTACCACAGCCCTCTGCTACTTCTTTGCTTCCAGTGGGCTTTCAAAGAGGACTTACACAGTTTCTGCTTATGTTCATTTGCAGTCAGAATCCTGCATAGCTCAGGAAATCTCTCTCCCCTCACACACCCTCATTTTTTGATATATGCCGAGAGGGCATGCTTGATATTTCTTCACTGACAAATTTGTAGAGATGCACAAGATGGTCTTTTCAGAATTGGCTTCCACATTCTGTTACCGACTGTCTACACAAGAGAAGGCTGTATGAGCTTGAGCCTAGAAGCCTCTGGAACATGTTTCAAAATATTCTTGTCCTCTCTACTTTTCAGTAATGTTGTAGAAGATAGTATAGAAACACAATAATAAATGAGATTACCTTATGTATCAGTGAATTTTATTTCATTGATATAAACATATAAGTGTATGTATGTATGTTCCATAGGAATAATCCCTAAATTTGACAGAAGGCTGATCTATCCAAAATCTCCCAAACATCATTAAAAGTAGATTATATGATGAAATGGAACTGGGAGTGGGGGAAAGAGAGAGAGAGAGAGAGAGAGAGAGAGAGAGAGAGAGAGAGAGAGACTGAGACATATATGCCAGTGCTACTTTTGAAAGCTTTGTTTAATTTTATGCATTCTTTGTGCCAGATGAAAAGGGAAAAGAGAGAGGCAGATTACAAGGAAAAACTTCTACTGAACATTCATAATATGCAAATAACTTCTTAAGCTTGCCACAAAAAGTATAATCTTTTCATTTGGATATCAATAGAAATAACTTTAGTCCCACGGTGCTCTTGATTGTGTTTTTTTGAAGAGCAGTGTTATTGCTTTTAAAGTATCTTTTCAATTCAAACTGCTGCTTTATTTCTACATATTACCTTCCTTTTGCTGAATAAAAATTATTCAGAATACTCATATCCAAACAGCATTCCGGTCAAATATTATTTTGCCAAACACCACTAAATATAACTTCAACACTTAACAGTCAAGCTAAAAAAATAATATTTTGTATTAGATATATTTTCATTCATTCTTCACCATAAAGTATAATAGTAAAAATTCAAGATCAGCAGATGGTCTTTATGAATGTTCCTTTACAAATCCTGTAACCCTTGTATATACAAACCTCACATCTGGCAAGCATTTTTTTAGCCACTTCTATGAATTTTTCTTTTTCTTCTGTTTTTAGTGCATTATTGAAATCCTCAATGAATACTTCTGTAACTTCAAGTGGGTTCCTGAAAAAGTAACCAGTAAAGAATTTTGATTTGATTTGATATTTCATAAATACACCATATCAATATTCCAAGTATAAAGTAAAACAAAAGAAAGCTTACTTAATTTTGAAAACCACATCTGACCTGTAAAGTATAGAAATGTTTCTTTAATTCAGAGGACTGCATTTGTTTCTTTGTAAAGACCAGTAAGTACATGAACAGGGACCATCTGTGAGACAACAGGGTGGGAGGGGGGCTTTGCCTTCAGGGCTTCAACTCTATGAGAGATGAAGCTGTTCTTGCTATAAGCACATCCATATCTTACAAAAATCCAGTGTTTAAGCCCTGGCCCAACTATTTTGCACAGCTGAAAGGAAAGCAAATAAAATGCATTTGTAACTGATAGATGCAAGCTAACCCAAAATCTATACCACACCTTCAAAGAAAAAGGGAACAAGACAAAAAGCTGATTGAGTGGCCAGCAAAACCACATGACATGAGACCATTACAGACATAAAAAAACAAATTACAAAGCCAGATTCCTATTTAAACCAGAGAGAAAAGCAGGTTGCTTACCTGTAACTGATATTCTTCGAGTGGCCATCTGTGCATTCACACATATGGGTGCTGCGCCTGCGCAGTGCCTAGGCCGGAAGATTAGAAAGCTCTAACGGTTTTTGGTGGGAAAAACTCCTCTCCCCTCCCCCTCAGTGGTATAAATAGAGCAGAGTGTCCGCCATTTTACTCAGTCTTGAAGACCAAACGTTCGCCCTCTAGAGGTTGAGAATAAAATCAACAAGAAGCATCATCATATCCCAACGGTACCGATGAATATTAGAGTATGGTACTGAGAAAAAACATCCACTCACCGACACCGAGTGGGGCCGGCAGGTGGGTTGTGTGAACGCACAGATGGCCAATCGAAGAACATCAGTTACAGGTAAGCAACCTGCTTTTCTTCGTTGTGGCCTCTGTGCATCACACATATGGGTGATTCGCAAGCTTACCAAACTCAAAGGAGGGAGGTGTTGTCATCAAAGAACAGATGAAAGAACAGCTCTGCCGAAAGAGCAGTCCTGCCTTGCGCGTACATCAAGCCAGTAATGCTTGGCGAAGGTACATGGACCAGCCCACGTTGCAGCTCTGCAGATATCCTGAAGCGGAACCCCTGCGGCAAAGGCGGACGAAATCGCTACTGCTCGTGTGGAGTGACCTTTTGGAGAGACAGGTAAGTATATTTTCGATAGCTGGTAAGCCAAGACGATAGTCTGGGCAATCCAATTAGAAAGTCTTTGAGATGTGATCGACGATCCCTTGTCATGCTCAGAGTACTTAACAAAAAGTTTATTAGTACTACGGAAAGATTCAGTATGGGATCTGTAAAAGGCCAAGCAATGGCGAACATCAAGCGTGTGCAGGGCCCATTCTATCAGATTCGAAGGCAATGGAAAGAACGCCGGCAAAACAATGTCTTGACTCAAGTGGAATGGGTTAGCCACTTTAGGGAGAAAGGAAGAATCCATCCGAAGAACGACTTTTTCCTTACGGAAATTCAGAAATGGTGGGTTTATGCAAAGAGCACAAATTTCACTTGTTCTCCGAGCTGATGTTACTGCTATGAGGAAAGCCGTTTTCCACGACACAAGGCGTAGGTCCACAGTTGCCAAAGGTTCGAACGGTGGCTTAATAAGCACTTGGAGTACTGCAGAAAAGCTCCACGTTGGCATAGCAGGTCGGATAGACGGATGTAAGTTCTGTAATCCCCTAATAAAGTGTCGAACCAGCGGTTGAGAGAAAACTGATAAGCCGTGGACAGCGCCATGATAATGGGATATGGCGGCTGCATAAACTTTGATGGATGATGGTCTAAGTCCCGAGTTATACAGTTCCAAGAGAAATTGCAAGATATTGTCAATTGAAGCCATCCCAGGAAGAAAGGAGTGGCACTCTTCAAAAGATGAGAATCTTTTCCATTTAGCCGCATAAGAGCGATGAGTGGACGGTCTCAATGCATATTTGAGAATCGTCTGAATTTCTTGGTCAGTAGCCGTCGGTACTGAAGCGATTGCTGTCGGATCCGAAGTAGGAGCTGTATGTACAGTTTGCTGAATAGAGTTCTCCATAGAGTGGGGTGTTGTCGGTATCAACTCAGTGAAATGGCTTAGCTGATCCGCCATGCCGTCAACTTCAGGGAGGATATATCTGGATGCCAGATCGCTCCGCCTTGTTGCGTTAACACTTGAGGAAGAGTTGGTAGGCGAAGAAACGTTCCTCTGGATAGTCACAAAAGAGTGGCAAACCATGGTTGCCTCAGCCAGCACGGAGTTACCAATATCCCTGTGGCATTGTCTTGGGCTATTTTCACCACCACTTTTGTTAGAAGTGGGATCGGAGGGAATGCATAAAAAGTCATGCTGTTTGAAGGGATCATAAGAGCATCCCCCATCGATCCCGATCCGATGCCCGCTCTGGAGCAGTACAGGGCACACACTCTGTTGTCCCGGGTGGCAAACAAGTCCATGTCTAGGTAACCCCACAAATGGAAGAGTTTCTTGCAAACTTGTCTGTCCAACTCCCATTCGTGGGTTGTTGACATCTGTCTGCTCAACATATCTGCTTTTATGTTGTTGGTTCCTGCCAGGTGAACCGCCAAGAGCATTATGCTCCTTGGTATGCACCAATCCCAAATGTCCATCGATAGGCGTGCTAAGGCCAGTGATTTTGTGCCGCCCTGCCTGTTGATATAGAAAACAGCATGTATGTTGTCTGATGCAGTCTGGACAACTTGACAGCATAGCACAGTCTTGAAAGCCTTGAGGGCGTTGAAAATTGCCAGAAGTTTGAGGAAGTTGATGTGTTTCCTTGCTTCTCGTCGGTTCCAAGTACCTTGGTCCCGAAGTCCCGAACATGCTGCACCCCATCCCAGGAGGGATGCTTCGGTGCACAGGGTTGTTGTTGGCCGAGGCAGTCGAAATGGGATGCTGATAGACAGGTTGCCTGGGATGGTCCACCAAGTCAGAGTATGAAGGATCGCAAATGGAATCCGGATCAGCTTGGTGGAAGGATCCCATTGCAGGTGAAATGAAGCATTGAAAAACAGTTGCATGGGCCGCATACGCAGCCTGGCATACGGGACAATGGCAACTGCAGCAGCCATGTGCCCAAGTAGTCTCTGAATGGATATGGCTGGAACCGTTCTGTGCAGTCGGATTCGACGAAAGTGATTGTATAAGGCATCTTGACGTTCCGGAGGAAGAAAGGCTCTTTCCCGTGTAGAGTCGAGATGTGCCCCGATGAAGTGGATGACCTGCGTGGGAATAAGGGACGATTTCTCGTGGTTAATGCACAGGCCAAGATCATCGAGTAGAGCGCAGGTTACTTGTATAGCAGACAGAAGATCTTGTTTAGTTTGCGAAACGATTAGCCAATCGTCTAAATAAGGGTATATTTGCACTCCCCGTGTTCGTAAGTGTGCGCATACTGGCGCCATACACTTCGTAAAAACTCGAGGGGTGGTAGCCAGGCCAAAAGGCAGAACATTGAACTCGAACAGATCGGACCCAACAGTAAAACGTAGGAAGCGTCTGTGCGAAGGATGGATAGAAATATGAAAATAGGCATCCTTCAAGTCCAGTGAGGCGAACCAATCCTCCCTCTTCAGTAACGGAAAAATATTCTATAAAGTGGTCATTCAAAACTTTCTTGGTTTGATGTATGTATTAAGAGTCTGTAAGTCCAGAATCAGATGAAGACCACTGTCCCTTTTTGGGACCATAAAATATCTGGAATAGAAGCCATGCAATCCCTCCGATCGGGATAGTTGTCAAATTGCTCCCTTGAGAAGCAACTGAGAAACCTCGTCGCATAGCACCGATGAAGAAGGTGCAAAACGGATTGGGCTCGATGGAGGGATGACATCGAATTCTATCCTATATCCGAACTGAATGATATATAACACCCACCTATCAGATGTAATGGACTCCCAGATGGGGAGTCGGCCCTGGAGCCGGTCCCCAAAAGGGAGAAGGGAAGGTGGTGTTGGAAGAGAGAGGATGGTTCACCCAGACCATCAACATGGGTGTTTATTGGTGTCAAAGCGTTGACAGCCCTGGGAGAAGCGTTGTTGCGGTTGCTGCCTCCGACGTTGCTGTCATTGCTGATATTGCTGTCGAGGGTGGTATTGTTGGTTCCAATAGGAGGGACGAGACCACTGCCACTTACGCTTCTGTTGAGGGAGCTCCATGCGGTGCGCGGTCATGCGCGATTCGTGTATCGCCTTTAACTTGCGGTCGGTCTTCTGATGGAAAAGACCGGTGCCATCAAATGGCATTTCCTCGATTCTGCATTTCGTTTCGTCAGGGAAATTATGGTTGCACAGCCACGCATGTCGGCGCAAGGAGATGGCATTGACGAGAGCCCTCAAATTCGTGTCTACATGGTGTCTTATGGTAGACAACTGTTGCACCGCCACCTGCATCGCTTCTTTGATGAAGACCCTGGCGAGGTCCACTTGGTGGTCTAGAAGGGAGGAAGCAACATTATCCAGCTTTTGCATGATGAAGTACTGGTAACGTGCCAGTGTTGCTTCGTAATTCGATATGCGTACACCGAGCCCAGAGGCTGCATAGACTCAGTGCGCAAGCATATTGATTTTCCTCCCTTCCTTGTCTCGAGGGGCAGTGTGTCCCCTGGACTCCCTGCCCTGGGAAGATTCAACCACAAGAGAGTTCATTTTCGTGTGACAGAGCAAAAAAGGAATATCGTCCTCTCTAACTCTGTAAATGGCTTCATACCAGCGGGAGGTAGCTTGTGGTTGATCCCAGGGCTGGACCATAGCCTGGCGAAGTGTAGTAATTAGCGGCAGGGCTATGGTTGTGGACTGCTCTCCCCGAACAACGTCATAGAACCGAATTGTAGAAGGACCTGGCCAGTGCTGGGCTTCGATCTCAAGAGACCGAACGAGGTGGGACATGAGCTCCGTAAAGGAGACATGTGGTTCATCAGGTGAAGCAAGCCCTTGG